CCCGAATCATCGAACGACCGTGATGATCCACAAGCATAATGCTTTCGGTAGGAATAATGGATCGTTGTTACCCGGAAGAAATGTGGATGACTTCGATCGCTACGGTAAAATATCCAAAAGGTGACTGTTAAAGCGTATATATTCTAGAATTGAAAAGAAAGATCGATATTGTCAACCCGATTTCGTCCCTTAAACAATGTTATATTATTTATTGATACATAGAATTTATCAATAATACCATTAGCTAACAGTATTACACTTGTTCCTGTCTAGGTTCCCCGAAGGTTGTCGTTCTCTCGTTTGCGAAATTATAGTACATATATATGTCGAGGAGCTCGCCTTTCGATCGACGCTCCTCTCTCTCGTCACAATGTATACATCGCACTGATTACTATTAGAATCACAATTACAGATCATACATTCACGTATAATTACACATTACAACGTTACATACACGTGTTTATGTATACATATATATATATATATTTATATATTTATAAATTACAGGTCGGAGATTAGATGTGCTCTATATCTCGATTCATCAGGGAATGTTTCGGTACTTAACGGTCATCCTTTTCACGCCACACTTCCGAGGCTCGATGCCATCATGAAATGGTTAAATCATCGGTAACGATTCGAACGTAAAAAAAAATTCTTCTCTAATCTAGACGACTCCACATGCAATTTCCAGATCACACAGAGACACCCGAAAAACGTTTATTAACGGAATCATATTCAAACGTTGTCGGTTTAGGTTTAGAAAACCGAAAGACTAACATTGCTATCCCCTAACGGCGCGTCTCCGAACCACCTCCGAAGTTCGTTGATACATCAGGCTATCGTGTTTACGATAAAGACACTAAAATCCTACTTTCCCTCGGCCAAGAATCGACCGAAATAATCTTGAAAGAACCCCTGTAGTCTTCACACCGAAATACATCTCGTCGGAACATCAACTGGCGTACAAAATTTACTTTTGCAACGTTCGATAAAAAGCTGCCGGACGAAAATTATCGGCTGTTCTGCGATGGCGCGCACGCGCGAAATCGCGCGGGAAATACGATTATTGTATAACATGCATTCAAATGGGGGCGGGGTTTTCTCGTCCTTTCATCGCCCGATTCGTGCAACATCGTACGTTCTCTCTCTAGATCCTATTTAATTGTCGTTCCTAGCATGACTCGTGAATGGGCATCTTTACAGACTCTCTCGTCACCTGTACAGAACACTTTTGTTTCGCTCTCTGCCATTTTTTTCCTTCTGGTTTGCAACGGTAATGATAAGAACAACAGCGACACTACTATAGCTCCTTTACAATTAATTTTTACAGCGACTCGAGATAACAGGGTTATATCTATAACTCTACCCAGTTTAACATTTATACGCGGATGAACGAATAATCTCGGGATAAAACGGGGATGACATTAATTTCTCGGAGCAGAAACAAATGGAGGTCGCGAAGCGAGATCTACATTACTGACACGACTTGGCCCCCAGCGGAACTGTGTCTCTTCAAAGTAATCTTTTCAATTACACTAAAGCGTTTAAATAGTTTCAATATTATTGAGATCCGTCCCCCTTGTCGATGAATTTCGAAGACAGAATCCTCTTTCTGACATTTTAAGCCTCCCAGCAAGCAATGAAACTGATTAAATAAAGGTACTCAAATTCAAGGATTTCCATAATGTGGACTCGATGAACTTGCCATTCGCGAGGGCCGTGTGTGAATTATTATTCTTGACACGAACTCAAGCAGAATCCCTTATTCGTAACGATCGTAATTATACTTCGAGACTCGAATCGTTGGCTTAAGATTATGCTCTCGATAGTGAGAGTCCACACGGCGATTGTATAGTCAAGTAAATCACGATTAACCTCTGAATGTTGTCCGATGCCTCTCGCTCGACGGTTCCACCCAAAAGAAATTTGTCACTTTATATATGAAAAAAAAAAAAAATTAACCCGAAATTACGACCTCCTTTCATAGACAATTGATTTTTGTCCTGTTCTCCTTCCCTCGTACATTCTCCGATTCGTGCACACTCAGACATTATGTATTCGTTTTTTTTTTTTTTGTTTTGCAATCGGAGAAATACGATCGGTAGGCATGCCGGTATTATCACACACATAATCTCTAAGTCGAATATACCATTCCTAGGATATATTATTATCTATATTACGCATTGTGTGTTCAATCGGATTTCACTCCCTTTAGATACAAGAAACGCCGTTCCGAAACCATCGTCGCACTATACACGGTGCGGATATTACGCTTTAGTTGAGATCACGAGCTGGAAACGTTTTGTCTCGAGTGAAACTTCTCCGCGGGGAAAAGCCTCCCCCCGAGATCCGTTTAATGTACCGAACGTAAACAGACCGTCACGACGGAAAAGCTTTGCGTCTGCCGCGCACGACGAACGGAAACCGATTTTCCCCTACGTTTCTATGGTAGTTCTGTCAGCGGCCGCAGCTACCGTCCATGGGATGACTTAACCTATAACCGGTATGTACGTATGAATATATAGAATGCACGTCGATCCTTCGTTGATATTGGACACCAATCTCTTACTACGTTAAAATTAGTGGACTATAGAAATTATATAATTATAGTGAATTATCGATGAGTCTTCGAAAACTCATCGATGATTTACTGTATTTTGATCTAATACTGTTAAATGGTCCTCGAAAAGTCTTTCGAGCAACACCTGAACGGTCTAGGGTACAGTGACTGATGGACGACAATACGGGTCAGATTATTCCTCTGACAGAGCTACCATCACTGAACGGTATTGTCTGACCACGATTCGATGCATCGTTTTTCCGCAATGTGACACGGATCAGAGCGACAATCTATAACCGATACGATCGCTTAAGTGGCTAGGTGTATTCGCTAAGTGTTAGTTGGCATATCGGCCGACATTTCTAAACGTCGTTGGATCAATAGTTTTCCTTTTTTCTTTTACGGCTATCTGTTAATCGTAATCCTAAATTAGACGTGCGGCAAACCGCGTGACCGGCGTACTGAGACGCTTGACTGAGGTCACACGATCATCTTACAGGCTAAGGACTAGAATAGACTCTTCTGATCACCTTTGCAGGATGAAAGAAACGCGAAACGAAAACTCGAATAACAAAAACGGAAACTTACGTCGCCTAGGTCTTCGTTCTCCTTATATTAATCGAACGACCGCGCTGGTCGTTCGTTCTTACCTAATGGATATACGTATGTTTTATGTACTGTGGCCATCGTGCTTTGCGTCCTCTCACGGAATACAGATCTTTGACTAGAGAAATCGGATTGGGTCGATCTCCCGTAGACCGTGATCGACACACAGGGTAAACACGGAACGGAAACTTACGCCTATCACTTGGATCGTAACCTCTGTTCTTGCAACCTGTACAACGTGTCCCAGAATGATGGGACAAATCGCAACACGTATATATTCTTCATGCAAATACAAATCGAAAAGTTCTTTACCGTTTTGTAATAGGATTTTCGAGTTATTAACAGTTGAACGAACTCCATTCAGCTGAGCGGTCCGCCACACGTACGCCAGTCAGCTGAGTCGCGCGCTTCTTAACTGTACATCTGAGCGTACGTGTGGTTGACCGCTCAGCTGATTGGAGTTCGTTCAACTGCTAATATCTCGAAAATGGAGCTTCAGATTACAAAACGGTAAAGGACTTTTCGATTTGTATTTGCACGAGGATTATACGTGTCGCAGCTTGTACCATCTTTTTCAGACACCCTGCATAACACACGTACGAATACGAAATAACATTAAGGACTAGGTAAATCGCGGATTCACGCTCTCACACACGCATCTCACAAGCACGCGCACACACTGACCCATTCGTTTCTCTTCTCGTTATAATTTATACCCTTATTCGTCTAAGTAACCGACGGTTAATCACGGTAAACTACGCTCTACGACTGAATAACATTCGATATAGATCATCTGCAAGCTCAAACGATAAGATATGGCCGCGTCCACGATCCTCTGGAATTGTGTAACGTGTATCTTAATTTTTAACAGCTATTTTGCCCTCTGATCGACGTGCTCGCCGCGACGGAATTCTTGGTAACGATCGATTACTCGAAGGGAAGGAACCGATAAAGGTCCAACGAAATCCTCATCTGACTAGTTAAACAATGTTTTACACCTGTACACTTTGATCTCCGGTTCGACGGTCAGCATCGCAAAGCCTTTCCCCGTTGGTTACGTGTTACTACTTAGCAAGCTAAACCGAACGTAAAATCAGTATTGTCCTCCCTTACACATTACTTGTTTCATACGTACATTTTCGTTAACCGCTATACTGTTAGGCCGCGTTTCCACTTGCGCGATTCCACGGAACATTAAAGAAACCAAAATCCAAAGGACTCGAGGACTTTTTTTCATTCGAACGAATAGAGGGGAAACAGAAAGGGAATATAATCTGTCGGTTGACGCAATAGTACGTCTTTTCAAAAGCTGAGAGCGGTTGACGTCTTCCTTAAATAAGTACTAGAACAGTAAAAAAATAGGAACAAGTCGCTTTCCCCAAATGTAAAGTTTGACGAATACGTTAAATAGTAGTTTCTAAATATTTTTAGACCACCTGAACGTTCTACATTTGCAAATACAAAACATCCTCCCGCCAGCAAAGTATTAATATCTATTGTTAAAAAAAAACTTCCCCATACCTGATGGTATGATCGTTCAAGTGAATACGCGGCTTAACGCGAAACACGCGGCGAGGGTTCGTTCCACGGGGTGCGTGTCGATCGATACCCAGCGAAGAAACGCTTTAACCGAGTTAATACTGATGTGCGTTTGAAGCGACGTATCACTTCGGTCGCTTCCCAGATGAGTGCCTCGACGCAATTTCCCATAGAGATGCCCTTTTATTCGCGTGGAATCGAACAACCTGCCGCCGTGAAACCGCACACGCCGGGCCGCGTTTCGAGTCACAGGCATTGTTTTTCTCTATGCTCGGGGCCCCTCGTTTCAACGACTATATATGTATATTATGTATATATGTATATTAGCAAGTAACTGTTCACCGCTCGCGCGTTTCATCAGCGTCGATACGTTACCTGACGCGGTCCACGACATTTACTCGGTGGAATCGGAATCGGAATCGGCGGGCGCGTCGGACGCCTCGCTCTGGACCTCTGGCGTCGATTCTGGAAGCTTCTTGGCGATCGTCGCCGACACGTAAGCGCCCGGCCCGTCGCCCTGCGTGTGCTCGATACCGACTCTGGAACCACGAATGACCGATAAGAAATGAAGATACCGATTTTGATCGAGCAGAGTCGTTTAGGAAGGTGTAGTTTCCTCTAAGAATTCTCACTGAAATTTTGTGTTCTACTCAAGAAACACTAGTGTATACCTGTACTCATGCCGCGATAGGTTCTTCACGTATTTCTCCGGTGGATTGTCACTGTCGCTGTTCTGAAGGCTGACGCTCCTCGCGGTCGTGTGAGACACTTGGGTAGCCGGCATCGTGAACTCGACGTAACAGTACTCCGAGAGATTCTCGGGGATCTGATCGTAGGAGGTCAGAGCCATACGGCAGACCAGTTGATGCGTTGTGTACGCACCTAAAGAAAAAAAAAAAAAAAAAAAAATCTGATCCGATTAGTTTTAACACATTTGATGTCGGATGACGTAGTAGTACACGTCTTTCTTAAATAAGAACTAGAATAGTAGACAAAATAAGGCAAAAATGCTTTTCCTATATGTAACGTTTGACAAATTAAAAAATTGAATAGTTGTTTCTAAATATTTTTCGGGACACCTGAACGTTGTATATTTGCAAACACAAAAATTCTTCCGGTAGCATAGTGTCAAATATCGCTTGGGATAAAAAGGGATTCAAGATGGCGACCGTTGCGAACAACGTACCTTGGCCTTGTTTCGGTAACCTGGGCATCCTCCAAACGATAGCACGATGTTGATGCTCGTATTTCGCTTGTCCCGATGTGACCTCCATCAGCTGCGGTTCCAGGGTGTCGACAGCCCCGAGGAATCTCTCTATACCCTTGATCTTCCCGGTTCTCCTGTGGGCGGACTTCACCGAGCCGTACCTGAAGTGTTTCTCGACCCTGAACAGGTAGATCCAGCACTCGGGGATCGGGAACCGGACCATCACGTCCTCGCATGGCACTTGGCCCAGTTTCCGCGACGCGAATCCTGGCACCAGAATGTCCGCTCTCAGCTCTACCTAATGAGGCAGTGAGGTTAGGGTCAGTCGGGCCGTGAACGGGCGGCTGACAAAGACAAATTATCTTACAAGCGACATTCATTGTAGGGTAGGTACTAGGTACAGTAAAACTTGGATTAGTACCCAAAAATTGGAACTGAAGCCCGGGTGCTAATAAAGTGGAGCAAACCCAGATATCACATTACACTTAATCAATATCAATAATAGATATAATTCAAATTATATCGTGTTTGGTCTTGTTCTAAACAGAAAAATCTCACAAATATGTTAGTAAAAGAATTATTGAAAAAATAATAGAAAGTAGAGAAATTTTTGTCTTATATTTTATGCTTGATTAGTTCCAGGTGATGCCCCTCCAATGGTGGGAATGAACACTCGGGTGTTCACGCTGTAGATCGTTCCAGGTACTAATCCAAGTTTCACTGTATATTGATTATTGGGAGTGGGTGAGGACGCGGTGATCGCGATCGTGCAACGTTAGGCAAGGTTTTCGACATTACCTTGTTACCGGTAACGCACATTACAGCTTTAAGCTGCAGGGGAAGCTCCCTGTTTTTAGGCGGTCTGACACGGAATCGCATCAGTTCGATATAGCATGCATCGGGCGGCTTGAACCTTCAAACGGGTTAGTCATGGTTAGAGTCACAATCGGTTATCGAAGGCCCACGGAAAGCAGTCGTTTTCTCTCGAAACATTGTCAAGGAAACAACAGAACTTTCCACGGAGCCTCAGGTTATACACACATCCAGTTAAAAAATAGCTGTTAGACGATTAAGAAGCGTTTTCCCGAAGAATGTCGACAACGTACTTTATGATCCTAGTCTTTTCGTATTCGTCCTGTTGGACGCAGGTGTGAAACTCCACGTTCTCCAGACGAATCCATTCCTCGGTCACCACTCGAATGATATCGTGCCTGCCCACCACTTCCTTCCCCTGCCTCCACATGTCGTTTATTCCAAGCTCGACGTCGGGCATTCCTAAAGCAATTGCCCGTTTACAGTCTCCACATAACAAGGGTCGACAATGTCCCCTAGCTTCTCACCTGTTAGGAAACCCAAGAAGAACAATCGAACCCGCGCGATCTGCTTCTCCACGTGACCCTCGAAATTCTGCTCGACATAGAGCTCGTCTACCACCGTTATCTGGACCTCTTCCATCTTGTAACTGAGCGCACGGTCCCGATGGGCGGGCAGTCTGAACAGAGCCTCCTCGATCGCGTAGGACAACTGTTTCATGTCTTCGTAATTCTGCGAGCCTAGCTTGAACAGGTACGAGATCTGAAATATTCAGAGACGATTGTCCAGCATCCTGTGTCGAATCTTTCGCGGTTTCCAGTGTCCATCGAACAACTGAACGAACATGTATATACCTGTGGCGCGTGTTCAACAGGAAGACCTAACTTCTTCAGATCGCTACCAAACTCTTTCACCCCCTGATAATCACCCTGAATGGCGTACGCGGCGAACTGGCTGAGCTTGTTCGTAAGTCTCTCCGCTTTTGTCACCTGACCGGGTCTGACACCTGGACGTTCCTTGTAGAAGATATATTGTAACTTCAACGTGAAGATCTTGCCGTACTGATCGAACTGCTGGGCCCCGATGTCGGAGACCGAGTAGCAGGGCAGCAGAGGTAGCTCCTGGAACGGGTCCTTGTCGTCTTTGTTGTTGAACAGTTGGAGGACAGGATTGTCGCCTTGGTAGACCACCCTGACGAAGGTCTTCTTCCAGAATCGCTGAGCCGTGATCACCTTCTTCTTGTTCGGTTGACGCAACTGCATCTCCCATCCGTCGCCTGTGTAGGTCACCCTCGGGAAATCCTCCAACGGTTGACTCATGTCCTCATCGAACAGGGGTGTGGGTGGTGTTTCCTGGGACAGCAGATTCGGTTCAATTCCTCTGTGTCCAATTCGACACCAAGGTACAATAAATAATCAAATTAGTGCTTGATGGCTCCTCAGGGTTGAACATTAAATATTTCATGAAATAATGGCCATATGCTGCTGAAAAAAAAAAACATCATTGACTTCAGCATTCGAAGCTCTGTCCACTGTGCTGAAGCTTATTAAAAACGTCTAGGTTACACCTGGGGACCTCTGTCAGTGCCAAGGAGCCTTCGAACACTCATCGTGTGATATTCTGTGTCTCGAAATGCTACCTGAGAATCGGTCCTGGTCAGTTCCGCGGTCGGAGTGGTTTCCGTAGGCAAGACAGCGTCCTGAGCGAATCCAGATTTGTCGAACGGGTTGAATCGTGGCGAGGAATCCGCGTACGCTGAGTTCTGAGGGCTCTTTGGCGGTGGGGCCAACACGGGGACAGTTCCACCCTCGATGCCCATAGACTGGTCTCCTTCTTTCGGTCTACAAGAAGGAACCGATAAGAATAGAAAGAAAGATCGAGTACCCCGACAGTGGTGGATACTTGCTTGATAAAGACACTGAAGTCTGGACCCTCGTCGGACTCCGCTGAGTCGGATCTCTTCACTTTGGTCTCTTGTGGCGGGGCGGTCATGCTGAGGAACGAGTCGAATCCATCCGCCTCCCCGAAACCGGTCACTGCTGTTTCTGATCCAGTCGCGGAGGAATCGCCCCAAACTAAACAACGAAAATTCAAATAGATTGCTCCACGATACCCGTTTCGTTGGAGATGTCTAACTGCCGAACAAATCTTCCCCTCTACAGAGGTACCCCTATTTAGGCGTGGTAGCAAGACTATTGGTAATATATCTGATATACAGGGTAAACCATTAAATGTGATCAGTTTCGTAGGGACCGTATCAAGGAATTCCAGTGGGGCTACCCTCAGAGAAGAAGATTTTCTCTCAAGCAGCAGTTAGACACCTCTGCTTTCGATCAACCCACGCGAATTGTCCTTCTGCATTCGACCAGAAACTCACCGTCGCTGGACGTGTCCATGGCGGTGGGCCCACCCCCAAAAGCGTCCAAAAACGGATCAGTATTAGCGTCCGGCTCGGCCGCCTTATTGAACTTGGACGCGAAAATATCGAAAGCATCGCCGCTGCTCTCGATCGTCTTGGCGGTAGCCGCGAAATTATCCAACTGCTCGTCCGGTTTGTACATCCCACTGGCGGGGAATTCCGCGGCTGGGAGTGGACTAGTTGGAACGGTGGCGTCTTCGCCAGGTCCCCCGAAGTCACCCAGTAAATCGGAGGCGAACGGACCGCCAGGTAGAGACGATGGGACAGCGGTCTCAGCGGTGTCGAACAGGGCTGGGGTGGGCGGTGGTTGCGCTGGGGTGGCTGAGAATGGAGGACTTGCTGTTTCTGGGACACCAAACGGAGCCGCGGTGGTCGTCTCCGTGACGGAAAAGAACGTGGAATCGGATGTAGCCGTCACAATCTGATCCGTCGAGAATAATTCGGCGCTGGTCATGGAAGGTTGGTACTCGCTGACCACTGGAGTCTCAGCTGCGAAGTCTACGCCAGTGACAGTCTTGTCGTCTGTGTCGCTGCCGACAACGCATGTCGTCGACACGACAGAGGGCCTTTTCTCGCTGCTGATGGACGCTGTCTCCGCGTAGTCCGACGCGAATGCGTCTTCCGTCGGAGCAATGGACGATTCGTCGTCCGTCATACTGGCGAATGGGTTGTCCTGCCCGATGGTCGTTGTGGTCAAAGCTGTCCCGGTGACCAGGCTAGTCGTGTCGCCGGTGGTCATAGAAATGGAGAAGATTGTGGTGGTTGTCGTGTCGGTGTTGGGCGCGTCGAACAGGTCCAAGATATCCTGGTTCGTCGACGGTTCCATCGGGCCGGGTTTACTGTCGTCCGACATCAGATCCGGAACGTTCGAGTCCACGTCCAACAGGTCGGCGAAACTGTGCTCCGGTGTCGGGGATGGCGAGTGCAACAATGTTGGGCTGGGTGTTCTGGTAGCCTGGTGTTGAAACCAAGTTCGTTAAAGTGTATACTCAGCATCGAGATTATGCGTGGAACAATTTGGTCTTTGTGCGTTTTATTTTCTTTCGGTAGGCGAAACGAGGCTATGATTGTAAAAGATTACGTAGCGACACTAAAATGAAAATGGGGTACGTAATCCCCGAAAAGTGGGCCGCAAAAATACATTCGATGAAATGTCTACTCCTATACCTCGTCTGTGCATGGGGTGTACCAATCAGAAGTGGCCAGTCGTTGACTGAAGTGTTTCTAATTATACAATAGATTAAAACGCTCACCTGCAACCGGTCCAGGAGATGATTGGAGGTCGCGTCCATGGCCCCTGTCACGGACAGGATCAGATCCTTGGTGTTTTTCGGGGGCGCCGGCGGTTGCGGCCTCGGCGGCGGTGGTCTAGATGGCGCTGGTCTTCCGTTCTTCGGTTGTAACGCTGGTGCTGCCGCCGCTTGCGGTGGTGTTGGTGGCTCCACTTCCGGCGCAGCGGGTTTCCCGAACATATCCTCGGGCGACTGCGACGTCTCATCTGCCGTATCGAACAAATCCGTCGACGACTCGGCCATCATTGTCGTGGTCGTCGCGAAAATGTTGCTGGTTTGGCTAGTGAATATATCGGTCGCTGGTGTATCGGTCGCGGCTGTGGTGGCGGTCGTATCGAAACCCGTGCTCGCTGCGGACGTGTCCACGCCGAACGAGGCGAACGGGTTCGTCGAGTCGACGCTGATCGGCGGCTGGTAGGATTGATCCGCGGCAAAGTTCAAAAACGGATTCTCCCCAGTGGTTCCTGTGTCCGTCGCGAAGTCCTGGAGAAACGGATTGGAGGTCTGTTGGCCGGCCTGTCCGTCCGTCTCCTCCGCCCCGTAATCGTCCATCAGGAACGGGTTTCCACCTTTCGAATCCATGACGATGAATTAATCGGGCCTGGGTGTAGCGAAAAGTATTTAAGTGAAGAAAGTACAGACAGAGAGAGACACACAGATAGGATTATAGTCTTATTTGTCCATCAGTTCGGACTCTAACAGCTTCAGTTCGGTCTGTCCAGGTTCGATCGTGGCGAAACTGGTGTCGAATGGGTCCACGTCCTCCCCGAACGCGGGACTTTCGTTCTGCAACGGTGTCAGAACCTTTGCGCCTGTGTCTTGATCGTCGATGCACAAAAAATCCTGGGATTCCTTCCTCTCCTCTGCTCTGGGATCGAAGTCGTCGATTTCCGAAACCGTGGACGCTACTATTGTTGTCAAATCGATGGGGGCTGGTCTGACCGGTACTACTCCGGAGATCTGTTGTAGTTCGCTCTCTAGAATCTTCAGTTCCGCTTTACCAGGCAGGATATTCGTTGCTATGGAGGTGTCGAACGGATCTTCGTACGAGATCTCCTCTTCGATCGGTTTCGATTCGATCCTCGGGGTCAGAGGCTTGGCGTCCACTTCGATCTCAGCGTCCAGCAGACTCTCTTGCCTTTTGGCCAGTATCCGTGGTTTTTCCGCGAACTTCTGCAACACGGTACTCTGTATCTCGTTGATCTTCAAGTCCCTGGGTCGGACAGTGGCGGCCGTGAAGTCACTTTGCCTTCTGGCGGGCTCGTTCACGGCTCTTGGGTCGAAGTCGTGGTCGCTCAAACTGTGGGGCAACTTCGACTCCTGATTGAGTAGTTCAGACTCGATCAGCTTCAGTTCCGTCTTACCGGGAGCTACCTTCGCCACGAAGCTCGTGTCGAACGGATCGACATCGACTTCCTCCTCCTCGATGGACTTCTGGGAATAATAAGGTGTCAGTGGTTTCGACCGATTGACGTCCTCCTTGGTCAACAACGATCCCTCGATGGAATTCTGGGAATAGTACGGTGTCAGAGGTTTCGAGGGGAGAGTCTTTTCTTCCTCGGTGGTGGTTAGGAGGTCTGGCCTGTTGGACGGTGTCGGTAGCTCAAAGGCAACCGCCCTCGTGGGTGCTAACTCGAGGGCTTCCGGTCGCGAAGTTCTCCGTGCGTGATCCTCGACGCTGGCTTCCTGTTCCTCTACTTCGAATTCAACCGCGAAAGTTGGCTGAGCACTTGGTACCGGCGGTCTCGGTGGAGCCGTCGAGAGAATCGGTTGAATTGGCGACGTCGATTGTTCCTCTTTTCTGGGATCAAAGTCGTCGTCCTCCAACGAGTTCGATTGCTTCGTCTGATCCCCGAGCAACTCCTCCTCGAGAAACTTCAATTCTGTCTGTCCAGGTGGGATTTCGTGGACCGTCGAGGTGTCGAACGGGTCGACGTAAGTGATGTCCTCGACCGGTGCTATCGGTTGGTCTACCAGCTGGCTTAAATCGGTGGTCGATCCACCTAGAAGATCCTTCTTCTCTTTGAAGCTACCGTCATGCTTCTGGGTCAGCAAGCCTGTCTCGTAATCTCTGTGCAGGCCAGCAGGATCGGTAAGGGATATCGTCACCTCCGAGACTGGGAGTTCTTCTAGCTCCTTCTCGATGAATTTCAGCTCTGTCTTACCCGGGAGAATATTCTCGGCGAAGGTGGTGTCGAACGGATCCTCTTCGTCGACGAAGGTCGCAGCCTCGAAGCTTGCCTCGACGATCTCCGACTGGAAGTCTAGAGCTTCCGGTTCTTTGGTGCCAAACGGATCCTCGGCCTCCTCGAGACGTACCGGTTCATCGGGCGCGGTCGATAGATCGAACTCGGCGTCGTCCAAGTCGGGAATCTCCTCTAGGATATTTTTCTCTTTCAGTATCTCGAACTCGGAGATATCAAGCTCGTTCGATTGTTTGGTCTCCGCAGCGGTCTCTTGAGTGGCTGCTGGACTGACCGGTCTGGGTAGAACGGGCGGAAGTTTCGTTAGATCGATTGGAATATCCGGAAGATCGCTGTCATCATCCAGCAAGGTCTTCTCTACTTGAACGGGTTCAGCGTTCGCGATTGCCTCGGCTGGTAATTCAGGCTCTTCGAAGTCATCTAACAATAGGTCTTGTTGAACCCTAGGTCGTCTGCCTTTGGTGATCTTGCAGGAACTGACGTAATCGATCCGTCCCGAGAGTACCTCGACCGCGTTCCCTAGACTGACTAACTTGTTACCTTTCTTGTCGACTGTCTTTAGTACCTTGTCCGCGTTTGTGGTGTCGAACGGATCGTCACCGGTCTCCTCTTCCGTAGGACTGTCCGGTATGTAAGCTAGTTGAACGTCGATGTTTTGAAGAACGTCCACGTATGTGGTGTCGAAGATGTCCTCGTCGACCGAGTCCTCGTGGTCATCGTTGTCTTCTGGCACGTCGACGAAACCGTCCTCGTTCACCAACGGTTTCTCCTCTTTTTTCTTCCCCTCGAAATCGGGCGGCTCTTCTTCGATGGGATTACCCTCCTCGTCGAAACCGACCCACTTCTTCGAGCCTTTCTTGCCCTGATCCTCTTGGCTCTCACCCTCGTCAGCCTCCTGTTTCTTGTTCGTCTTCTCGTCTAACGGCGGTTTCCGTTGGAAGAACGAGGTCGATTTGATTCGATCTAGATCGCCCTGTGTCTTCTTTAAGATCGAATCGACACCGGCTGTTAACGCCTCGAACTTCTTCCACTCGTCTGAACCGGCGTTGCTGGCCTGCTCGCCGGATTCCTCGGCCTTCTGCTGGGCCTCCGCCCGCTCCCGCCTATAACGCTCGAGCTCCTCCGGGTCGAACTCGTCGTCCTCTGCCCCCTTCTTGCCTTTCTTCTGCTTTTTCTTCTTCTTCAGGCCCTTGGCTAGCTTGTGCATCCTCTAACAGCTACAGTGGATCGCGCGAGGCCTCTGTGTGAAGCAAGGAAATCACGAAAAGAATTAGAAACAACATCGATCGATAGATCCTACGAACTGTTCGCCAGAAACTTGCAATGGATTTTGCGAACTACGTTGCTCGATCGAATCGTGCTGAGGTGCTGGGTAATTCAACGTGTCTGTTGGATAGCGACGAATCGATGATAGACAAGTACAGTAAATCATCGATTATTGTCAATCACTTGGAATTCTGATACCAATGATATTTGTTTCAGCTGCGTACGGCCATTTTGTTTATGAAATATTTATTGTTCAGTGCTGTAGAGCTTTCGAACACTCATCGATGATTTACTGTATCAAGTTGATTGCAGAGTTCAGGTGCTCGCAGGGCAAATCGAAACTGACGGAATCCAAATGGAACATTTTTGACCGTGAACTCGAAATTTTATTTACTGTGATGTTAGTCTACGTTATCATAGCGTTAGAACAAAATCCTCTCAGCATATTCAGGGTGCTTACGGGGAGGTTATGTACAGACGGGTATGTGGTGGATTCTGTGTGAAAGAAAATGTAGAAACTTTTTTACTTTCATCACAGTTATATGTATAATATTTCCCATTATAATATTGTTATCCATAATAAATCCTAATTGTTCTTACCTTCGATCAATAAACCGTCTTGACATATTTGAAAGAAATTAAAAGTTTCGTAATTATGTACTCCGTTTTTGTAACAATGTTCAACACTCGAATTCCATCGAATAAACAAATAAACTAATATTATTTTTTTAATTTCGAAAACATATCCATATGCCAACACTGGGAACGAAATGGTTAACCTGAAGCGCGTAGAATCGTCACAGTACCAAGTAGAAACAGAATGCAATGAACAGACACCAGCGTCAGCCCAAATCCCATTTAAAATTGCGCGCGTATCCAGCGCATTTCAAATTAGATTTTCTCGAAAACGGAGCCCCTAAAGAACAAATTTTATTCCACAATTTTTTTTCTTATTTATTTACCATTAAATACCTGCCCGCTGGTACATAACTTCCGTAGGCACACTCTGTGCACAATTATTTCACCAGCGTAAATTCGAATCGTTTCCGTGTTCACGGCCGCCATCTTGGTTCTAACCCCTAAAAGCTAGTTCGCCCGTGACACGTGCCCGGAAGTTTTCGAGTAATTACTAAAACGATTTCTACTCGTCACATCTAAGGAAAACACTATATTCCAGGAGTGTTTCTACAGGAGTGACTTTGGGACAAATTCCACTCCAACGAAGCTTCAAAACATGCGCGAAACGAATGTCGTCGGTGCGTGGAAAAAGCCAGCTCCCACGCCACTCCTTCTTCTCCATTCTTCGAGTACTTGTTGCACAAACACACACACACACACACTGCCGATCTTTATTTAGCCGGTCACACATCGCGCTAAATCCGTCCGATTCTATCTGAATGCTTGTATGCTACCACGATGTGTGTATGAACAGCTTTTGTATCGTCCTCGAAAGCTTCTAAAACGACGCCGTCGAAACGACATCTAGAGATCGATCGTTTCGAGGGATTGAAATGGGGGACAGAGAAGACACGTTTGGAGAAATCGTCCTTCCGTTCTGGGGATGTTTCATTTCCATTCGATCTTTCGAAAGAAAGCATTTTCTTGTGTAAATGTTCCAAAAGTATGGAACCAAAGTCTGATAATTAAAAAAAGAGGAAAATAATAGCGTATCATGGAAACCTTATCACGTCATAAGTATTGTAACTATTCATTGTATTGGGCCTTGCCCGTCGATTCTAAATAAATAAATAATAATAAATAATTATTCTGGAGACGGGAATTGGTCGTTATCAGTTCCCAGAAACGGTAACGATCAATCGTACTATCGTCACAAACGGCCTGTTTAACCCTTTTATCCAGTTCCTAGACACTGGAAAGATACCAGGCGAAAGAATGAAAGAATCGACGAGTGGTTTCGTCGAGGGGGGGGGGGGCGATTGAGGAACGGAAAAAAACATCGAAATGCATATATGTATATCCGCGATGTATATGTTTCGTGCAGTTGATAAGGGGAGCTTAAAAGCTTACGCGATAGCTGTGTTTAACATATCAGCCGTATTAATCCGTATCGAATGGAGAATTTAATTAGCATCGAGAATACCCTGCCAGATGGTTACGTTTCCATATCCTGTGTCCTGGTTTTCTATCGATCCTGCTTGTCCCATGGGTGTTGCGAAACATCGATGATTATTTCGAAAAAAAAAACTTCGTATCGAAACACCCTGTTTTAAAGTTGAAAGGGCTACAAAAACCCTGGGCCCTTTACACTCGAGCAGCCAAAGGTCCACGGCTCCGAGATTGAGCAGGGTTGGTCGACCAGCAACGTGTACGAAGCAGAATTCGGTCGATACTTGGCGGGGGAGCACGTGCTCCATATTATTGGTCACAAGGGTGGTCATGTCAGGGGCGCACTAACAAACGCGCCCCCCCTCCCCCGACTATCACGACGTGCCACCCACTCCCCTCGTGGACAGTAAAACCGATACGAGTACACCTGCACGTACAGTGGCAGAGAGCCTGAGAATCGATAAGGGAACCGAGGAATTCGTCGAATTCAGACTGGGGAAAATTTGATTTGAAATAACAATAAGAAATAACTAATTGAAATAATTTTATTTCAGAACTTCCTTTTCAATGCTGTTATTTGAAAATAAATATATTATCGATTCGTTTGAAACAATAGCAATTTCGAATAATCAATTATTTTGTTATTTTTTCAATGCAATTTGACTTGTTTTCTCAAAGATAGCTGGCGGTGTCGTCGCGTCGTTTCTTTATGAATACTGAATCAGTCGAAGAACGGTGGATTAATGATCGGCATAGTTACGAAACTTCGTGGAACTATGGGAAAACTGGGTTATTAAACTGCGAATTGTATGCATTTTGTAGAATATCTAACCTGACATCGGTATACCAACAAGTTTAAAGACAGTTCACTCGGGTTTTCTTTTTATTCCGAATCTACTGGAACTCTTCAAGGGTGTTAATAATTTTTCCTTTGCTTCCACTTTCCAGAAGTTAATCCGTGAAATTTTATATTTCGTACTTTTCCAGATAACTGACGCCTCGAAGACACCCATTTTAGACGCCTTTAAGCCATCTTAAAGACGTCATTAGGCGTCATGTGCTATCTGGGTGGACGGAAGAAGCAGTCGAACGGGAAGTGACATTTCGATATCGATGTGGAGAGGGGAGCACGACACGATAAGGTGTATTCTTATCTCCAACAGCCAGATAATTAAATTTTACCCGTGTCGCGTCACACCGTGTTCTAATAGAGATTATCGATCGGTACGGTTCGTGGCCCTGTGGAATGGAATCCAGGACCGACACTTGTTACCAGTCAATTAACAGTCCCTGGTGAACGTTAAATCCCTTGTTTCCTGGATTTTCATTAGGCAAAGTCCCATCCCCCTATGTTTGTCTACTACCGGGCATTATTCCAAATTTATGTTTCGTCATCGAACGTTCGACCATCTAATAATTTCCTTGCTTTTCAATCGAACCAATCACTTCTAATTGCCCGACGTTACCTCCATCGTCTGTAGCGTCGCCATTATTGTACGAACAAATTCCAAAACATTGTTCCTCCGTTACGAATATTTAACACTTCCGAATACACGATCGACGATGAACTCCATTTTCTTCCGACGAATCAACAACACTGAACTAAAAAACAAAAAAAAAAACAAAATAAAAATAAAAAAAAAATCGAATATCACAGCTCTCGATGAATCTTTCTCGTTACACGGACACACGTCGTTATACCAGAGGTTCAAGGAGAGAGGATTCGCCGAAACGAGGTCGCGGAACCGAAGAAACGAGGGGGGAGGGATGGTTGCGCGCGTGCCGATTTATATTTAGAAGAATCCTAGCCCCATACGGAATTCAACCGGCGTGGCAACCATCCTTCGTTTAACGAAAAAACACGACTCGAGTTCATTGTCCAGCACAAAACTAAAAAATTGTCCAATTCGAAGAATTCCAAGCTGACCAAAACTGTACCGTGGGTAGCGTGGATGACGTTTTTCCATTTTCCAGGCCATCGATGGGGAAACGATTACGTAAACATCCAGGACGAAGGAAAACCTCGAGTGTCCTAGGCTGCACGAATTTATGACGTAATTGAGAAACTCTCGTGTACCTATCGCCTCGATATCTGGTACACGAGTTGTCCAGCGGCTGTCCGAACGGAGGGGCGCAAGCGTAAAGCCGGCTCCGGTATACAGGGTGTCTCACCCGATTTTGACATCTTGATTTTCTCGGTATCGTTACTCGTAACAATAAATGTTTCAGCGGAGGCTTGAATGGTATCGAGTGGAGCATATTCTGAGGTTATTAGTTTTTTCGTGAGTAGACGCGTAAAGGTCATATAAAGGTCAACTTTGTTTTTTTTAAATGGAACGAGGTATTTTTTAATACATCGATCGATGCAGCTGGACATTCGTTATAAAAAAGTACTAACCTATGTACGTCGAAAAGTTAGTAGTTCAGGAGATATTTCGATTTAAATCATTCTAAAACACCATTACTGTCGTACTAAGTCGTTAGCGTTTTTTTACAGGAATGGTAATAAACCACAAAAATTGGTGTATATGTCAGTCTACCTCTACAAACTAGACTCCAGAACCTTCCTACCCCTCTGGTCTCGCGTCATTTCTACTTAAATCGATTCTGAAAATCAACGACGAACCGAACTGATAACCCCAAATGTCTGGAGGTAGAGGACATTCCACGAAGCTAGACCGTTGGAAACCTTAAAAGCACAGTCAGAATAGGGTTCCCCTTTACACGAATCGAGCCACCCCACACGAAATCGGTGTACATGTCCGTCTCTGTATCTGGAGCGGATCAATCACAGCCGATAGCTGCCGTTAGGTGTCGTGCTCCCGATGTTCTTCGATTACTCTACTCTGTGCCTCTACCATACCTCTCGCATTCCAGAAAAAGCAGGCACTGAAGGGCGAATAGAAGGCTACTTGGTGTGTCTGTGGGATCTCCGTCGTCACGACGACCATTTACGTGAGGTACTTACGATTCCAGCCTCGTCAGCCACATCGGTACGACGCACATTTTTTTCGGGTCATCCCCGCGACGATCAAAACCCCCGAAGTGTTCGGTTCGATGAATGCCGGGACCTGTCACGTCGCGCACACACACAGTTTGAATTCGCGAGGGGGGTGGAAGGAGAGATTTTACGGTTACACACCAAAGCAGATAGAAACGTCTAAAGGGAAGATGACTTAGGGAAACGGATGTGGGCGCACACCGTGGAGGGTGGCAAGGAAGAGAACCGCGAGGCAGGCCTGGAAGACGCAAGCACTTACGGAATACACGAACCGAAGGAATTCACAAACGTTCCCCGTTCTTGGTACTCCGGCCACCCAAGAGAAGACCACGATGACGCGCACGGGGTGACCACGACGGGACCGTGTGTGATCTCTTTCTGTGTTCTCTGGAAAAGACACACCACGGGGAAGGGAAAAGAGAACCGGGGACGACGTGTGGTGAGTGTGTGTGTGTGTGTGTGTGTGTGTGGAGAGAGCCGATGAAGGCCCTGCCGAAAGCGAAGCCGACTCACCTCGTACTCTCTCCTCTCCTGCGGCTCGAGCTATTTCCAGCATCGATCCGTCCGACCAGCGGCGAGAAGAAACATGCGCGTCCGACTTTGAACGCCCACCAACGCCCCCGACGCCCCTGCCTGCCCGACCACTCGCCCCTTCTTTCTCCGTTTACCACCCTACTCCTCCAGGGACCCCAACGCGCGCGCGCCTACGTTTTCAGAATCGATTCGGAGGACTTTCTAGCTTCGAAATTCACCGAGTTTCGTGTGGAACGAGGAAATATTGAGCTGGTATCGAGCGGAATGGACTATGGCCAGATTTTCGAAGGATTACACACCGTTGTTTCGGGGTTTCACCCTATTTTTCGGGGGTTGTAAAGGTGTAATGATCGTTTTAGGGTGGCGTTTATTGGTTGAGTCTATTTGATTCTAAATGGTGGGGCTACAGTAAATCATCGATGAGTGTTCGAAAGGTACTCTTTATATTTACCAAAAATTCCTACTTTTCTGAATTTTTTCAAATTTTAGTGTTGAAGTATTCGATTGGGGTTTCAGTTTGTATATTTAAAATTAATTTCTTTGATAATTTTTTGATGGACACGTTGGCGAATAAACGGCTCCGTATCACCGATACAGTAAATTACCGATGAATGTTCGAAGGTTCATGAATTTCACTTTTTCAAATTTTTTCAAATTTTACCGGCCTTTCATGAACAAACTTGTGAGTCACTGTCATGCCATAGATATAGGATAACATGTTTAGTAGATGAAAACGATTCTACTTTTGTTTCGTTACACGTTACAAGAGATTTCAGATCTTGAAGAGGTAAGATCATACGTCGTAATCGGATTAAAGATTGTATTCTGGAGTGACGCAATCGAGATGGGGCAAATCGGGAGGCTATTCGTGGCTGACGAGGGTGAAAATTCCAGAAATAATGCAATATCTCATTAAATATAAACGATGCGATGGAAGCAATTGCAGATTTGGAAAGAGCAAAACGGGAGCAATTTTTCGAGATATACATCGTTAAGATACGTTAACATTCGGCTCTAACTATTTTCCGGTGGCGCCAGAGACCCCGTGTGGTGAAATAGTGGGGTCACAGAACCCCGGTGCAGGCGCCAGAGACCCCCGCGTGGTGAGAGTGTGGGGTCACAGAACCCCCCGGTGGAGGCGCCAGGGACACCGTGTGGTGAGCGAGTGGGGTCACAGAGCCCCGCGGTGGAGGCGCCATGGACACCGTGTGGCGAGAAGGTGGGGTCACAGAGCCCCCCCGCAGGTGGCACCTAAACCCCGGGTGTCGAGAGAGTGGGGTCACAGAGCCCCCCCGCGGGTGGCGCCTGAACCCCGTGTGTCAAGAGAGTGGGGTCACAGAGCCCCCCGGTGGAGGCGCCATGGACACCGTGTGGGGTCACAGAGCCCCCCCGCGGGTGGCGCCTGAACCTCGTGTGTCAAGAGAGTGGGGTCACAGAGCCCCCCGGTGGAGGCGCCAGGGACACCACGTGGCGGGAGAGTGGGGTCACAGAGCCCCCGCATGTGGCGCCGGCGACCCCGTGTGTCGAGAGAGTGGGGTCACAGAGCCCCCCGGTGGAGGCGCCGGGACACCGTGTGTCGAGAGAGTGGGGTCACAGAGCCCCCGGTGGAGGCGCCAGGGACCCTGTGTGGTATGAGAATGGGGGCACAAAGGGTCATTTACTACCTATTTTGTTAACAACAAATTGGTACTTTTCTTTTACGAATATCTCTAACTATTAACGGTGCTGGGGGAGCAATTTCAGATTCGGAAGGAGCATATTGGGAGCAATTCTTTGATATATAAATCGTTAAGATACGTTAACATTCGGCGCCAACTATTTTCCGATACGACCATCTTGTCATCCTCCCTCAATTTCTACTTTACCTTGCTGTTTGCAAATCCTTCTACCCATCCTTTCGTCCAGGTGGTCTGCAAAATAAATTTCCCTGTAAAAGGAAAATATGGGAGGGGGGTGGGGGAGGTAGCAAATGAAAGTCACGTGGACAATCATATCCACCCCCTCATTTCGTGTTCGTTGTGGAGAAAGGCTTGAAGCCCCGTCGAAGTTCCCGTTGGTGATCGGGCTGCGTAAAGTTGACAACCGACCTTAGAAATATTACAGTAACTTTTATTCAACGGAATTATATAACAGAATACGGAGGAAAAAACTTGGATGGAGGCTGGACACGGCGATGATGCCCATTGGCGAGCTACACGTATCTCGCTGCGGGGCCCTTGGGATCGAAGTCTCTCGCGTTCGTGTGAATATTGTGTACATATGTATACATCTATCACGTCGCTAGTCTCCGTTTGCTCTCCTATTTACAGAATCGTACGCCGTTTGAGAAACAACAATCTAATCTCCGCAACGAATTCAATCCCGAGGGCTTCGAACTCCGAACGAAACGCACATCCTTCCGTCTTTTTCTTCTTCCTTTTTAGAGGAGAGAGATAGAGAAAAAAAGGAACAGGGATCCACATTCACGCGTATAAACTCATGGGTAAATTCAACTTCCGCTAAAGGAAACTGCAGTGAAGGGGAAGGGTCTCCTACCACTTGGTAGATTTATTTGAACACTTTATTCACCGATTTCCCATTAATATCCCCACCCCCTCTCTCTCTCTCTCTCTCTCTCTCTTCCTTTTTCGAAGGGAAACGGAAGGGACCCATCACATGTACTAGAAATGTTCAATTCCGATTCGATTCATCGAAAAATCATGTCCCTTAAGTAGCACATCACTGCCACGCCACTGTATAACACATACATTAATGGTCAAAAGTATGGGACCAAGGTCGGATAATTAAAGAAAGAGAAAAATATTATTCTACAAAGAGTTAACGATGAATAACGTGGTAAAACTGTTGTGAAAGTGATCGGTATGTGTACCGATTTCGTAACTTTCATTTTATCCCAACAACATTATAAGTTACTGTTCCATCAAACTCTGTGGTCCCATACTTTTGGCTGTTAGTTGTATATATTATACACGGCACTGACGTTTTACCCAAGGAAATTGATCTTTCCGAACAATCCGAATCGGAATCGAACATCCCTAGCGTGTTCCGACAGATGGGTCCAAGTGGCGCCACCATCACCGGAAGGGGGACGACGAACTTCTCTAAAATACGCGTACGAGTCACACACGATTATTCTATGTATATAACACACCACCGATTTTGTTTCTCTAAACGATCTTACGAGGCTACGACGTATGTATATCGCTTCTTATTAAATACGGTCGAACGAGGAAATCCGTGGGTGGATCGCGATGAAGAGCACGGGGGGGTTCGATGTACGGATTGATGACACGTGGACGGGGCACGAAACAAAATGAACTGGAAGAAAACGAGCATCTGCGCGAATCTCATCGATTTAACAAAAATACACACTGAATTCTTTGTGACGATGTTCCGATCGTGTCTTTCCGTACGTGTATGCACCTATACATATATGTATGTATATATATATATATATATATATATATATTTTCCTCTGTCAAGTTGTACGTTTATTTTACACATAAAATCGGCTTGATCGTCGAGTAAAAGAAAATTATGCTCGGTAGTAATGTACAGAGAATTGTCAACCAGGCATTGGTCGTGATTACACGCTGCGCCGCTCGTATGTCGTTCGTGAACGCGTCACCCGTGGACGTATAATGGAGGGTTAAACGGTGCAACAAAGTAGCAAACCCAGGGGGGTAATAAGAAAAGTTTGGGTATAATGACACCTTGACAAGAAATATTAAAATCGTCCCTCTTCGAAATTGGTTTCGTTTTTTAGAAGAAGGCTTGAAAGTTGTAACCTTGAAGACGATCCTGAGGATCCTAGATGGACCAGGTCCTCGAACGTGAATTATTTACGAATCCGTTTATAACTCCACTGGGTATACAGTACACTGTATCGTCACCTCCGAGTATACTGTCGCGACTGGTAAGTATACACTTTCCATCTTTCACTATAACCCACATAAACACCCCACGGGTAACGCGTCAAGCACGCCACCCAACCATTCCACGCGCGGGTCCAAAAGCGAAGGCTCTGCGGGGTTCGATGATTTTTTATTTTTTATTTTATATAGCCGCTAAAATGTAGTTTACTGACCTTCCTTCGCGTCTTCTGTCTGAATCTCGCTCGCGAAAAAGAGTACGGGTGTGATAACGGTGTGACAAATAGCAACGAGAATTAATCAGAATGATAATGATTAATTGTAATAATAATAATAATACTAAGAATAATAATAACGATAAACGTCTTATTCGTGTTCTCTTCTCTCTCTCTATACAAGTGCACAAATATTTACAAGAATCAATAAAAACGACCAGACACGAACAACCCCCCTCCCTCTCCCAAAACATTCTGCCATTTTCAAATACCGTTTCGCGCGCGCGCCGTTTTTCCTTTTTTCTTTCCTTCTTTTTTTTTTAAATGAATTCGACCACCGTGGTACAACTCTGGACAAGACGACTCCAGACGCTTCTATTTTTTTTTTTTTTTTTTTTGGTACCCCCTCGTCTCCTTGTATACCGGGATCGGGACATCTTGGCACACAACAACAACAACGGCCCGACCACTAAACGTCGTGCCCCAGTGACTTTCTAAAACTTACTTTTAAACACAGTCGAGATTCGAAACTTCGCCGAGTTTCCCCGCCGGTTGGGAAACGGAGTTTTCTTCTCTGTCCCTCCTCAAACCGGACACACGACACCGAAATAATTAAAAGCTACACGCGGACCCTTTTCCCGGGCAACCTATGTTTTTATTTGTTTTTTTTTAGGTTGCGCACTTAACCGCCGCCATTAACCGTACAATGCACACTTCGCGACATGCTGCGCGCGTACCTTGCATGTGATAGGACAATTTTACCGCTAATACAGATGCTCGGATACTTAATCTGTTAATTGTTTTCGAGGAATGTATGCTTGTCAGGAAGAAATAGCAATGTTTTTATTTCGTTAGGAGATACGAAAAATTTCAATTTCTTCGTGACGAGTGCACTCGTCGAAAACAGTTTTACAGGTTAACCGAAGGAAAATAATAAACGAACGAGGCATCGTATGAAGTTTCGACAGTTTGCCACGAAAGTAATCCTCTAATGTTTACATAAGACTCATGCGAACGAGACTTTATATAATACTTGGCGCGGGGCGAATGTACTTTCGTGGCCAACCTGATGGCTGAACTGATCCATGACAGAGGGTTCACACATGGTTCACACACCCCATCTTGTGTGTAGCCACCCCACGAAAACGCGTGTCCAAGTTACACAATTCGTTTCGGTGAACACACACACCGTTGATTATTGCTAGTCCGTAAACAAATGTGGAACAAAAACAACGGAAATGGGTCGTCCGTTCGCTGGCTAGAAAACGAGAAAATCGTACATCGACTGTGATTTTTCCGTCTTTCACGTTGATTCGCACACACCGAACCTAAGTCTATCGTATTAACGAGGATGACTACTTGGGAGGGGAAGATGAGTGAGGTTAGGGATACGATTCACTTCTCTAAAACAAACACGAGTGTGTGTGTGTGTGTGTGCCTACGGCGAACGATGAAACGCGTTGTTTTGTCCATGGATTCCGTGTTCCCGCGGAATCGGAGGAAACGAGGTTATATTCGAGTCTCGTACGACGAGCTTCGTGCCGTGTGAAGCTCGTCGTGCTTCCAACGGAACGTTTTTCCAGCTTAAAGTACGACGCGACCAACAGGGGGCATGTCTCTCAGCGATTGTGTAATATGTGTTTCACGATTCGAGAATGCTCCCCTGTTGTCCAAGGTATACGTGGTGTGGTATTCGTTTCGCGGCTCGGTGTATCCTGCGGGTGAGTACTGAAAGAATTCCCGAGTTTTCTTTCAGAGGTTCACGCATATCTTTGGGTAAAAGGTTAGCGGTATTTCCTGCGGAATTGCAGCGCCATTTGGGGAACCAGACGTTGATGCGATAAAAACTACCGGTATACAGAGTGTCTGCACACGTAAGGACACTATAATATCGGATCTCGAGTTGGGGTTCCTCGCCGTTTATGGACATCCTGCGGACCGAGAGGAACCCTGGAGAGAAGGTCGCCGCGACACGTGTGGCGACACGATCCAGGGTTAAACTCGAATGTTGGTGTGTGCATTCTACAATTTTTTCAAACGGTCCCAGTCGATGGAGCCGAAGAATCGCGACACGATGCTGGAGGATTGTCCGCGGGGACGACACGGGGTCACCTTACGACGATCCCACGAGGAACATCTGAATGGCACCGACGAATTGCAAACACGGAAGACTACACCAAACCGGCCGGGTACTTGGAGTACGACAGACCTGGCAAGGAGTTTAATACGCGCTATGTACGAAACGTAAAATTGTATAACAGGCACCAGATAGAAGAACGAGTTCTTAGGGTATACTTCAGGTCACAGACCTCGGAGCTGCGTTATCTGTCTTTCTCTCTGGATTACTGGCCCTCCTCCGTGGTCCAGAACTGGGTCTCTGCGTTCAATGTGTGCTTGGATACAGATCCCCCCAATGATGGTTTAGTTTCTGAAAGTCTATATTCTTGTTCACTGGATCCAGGACGCTGGCACCCATTGGGGCTCCCTTTCCAGCGAATTGATCTCCGTCAGTAGCTGAGTGTACGCCCGGTCGGTGTCGGTGTTTATGATGATCATGTCGAACAGGTGGCCGTACTTGTCCTCCATTTCACGCGCCTTCTCGATGATGTCCTTCAGTTCCTCCTCCTTGAAGCTTTCGTTGTTCTTGATCCTCTTCTGCCGTAGCTTCTCCAAGCTTGGCGGCGCGACGAACACTACGTACGGCTTCAGGTCCGAGTTACGGAGGATCTTCAGACTCTGCGGATGAAGATTCAGAACGCAGATCTTCCCGGAGTTCACCACGGTCCTGATCGCCTCCACGGAGGTGCCGTAGTAAGCCTTCTCGTATTCGCCGTGCTCGACGAATTTTCTACAGAGGATGTCTGACTCGAACTGAGAACGCGAGATGAAGTGGTAATCTTGTCCGTCGACTTCGGAGTCCTTCCTGGGACGACTCGTGTCTAGAAAAACGCGGTTAGTTGCCGTGCAGGTGATTTGATTTGACCCCCCCGGCATCATACAATTACTAGTCTTCAGGTTTTCCAAGCAATGAATCGAGATATGAGTAAGTTTCAGTATATTAGTGGGGCACTATAAGTCTTGCGAAACTCTCGATGAAGTTAGCTGCAATGTTAGCGAAACGTTGGGAGAATAATTCCACCAGGACACGACTTACACAAGAAAGCCTCGACAGGGCTTGAAACGGTTCCGAAAATAACTGTTTCAAACTCTTATATAAAAGTTCCGACTGAAGGAGTTACGAAGAACTTTTATTCTTCATAACTGTTCTAAGAACTTAAACCAAAATCATAACAGTTTTCAAGCTCGGCTCGACAATAATAATTGTATGAAACAGAAGAGGATAATGGTATCTGTTTGAACTGCAGAGCTTACGAGGAATTGCCGCTGCAAAACGTTCGCTGTCTTGCATCAGTCTCTGTCTCAGCTCGTGTCGCCCGATGTTCGGTGGCCCAATCAGTACGATGGGTCTTTTGTGGTCTGCCCTCGGGTAATATAACGCGACCTCTTCGTACGTTAGCACCTCTTCGCTGTCGTAATCTACAAAACAAAACGTATGCCCGTCAACAAACAGAAACCACCTTTAAGGTAGTCTTTAGTATCTTCATCATAGGATCAATCGAATGTCCCGTATGTCTACCATCGATCGCGGTCGTTGCGTAATGCGGATAACCGTCGTCGTTGTAATTCGCCCCGAATTTGTTCCTCTTCTTCTTCTTTGGATTCTTTCGGGCGCATAACAGCGTGCTGGACTTCTTGGAGCCGCGTACGGTCGACTTGTCGCCGGCGATCGTCTGCTTCATCGATTCACGTCTGCGGAGACACGGTGTTAACAATATATACAGGGTGAACTACGAATCGCGATCAATAGAAATTACTCTGTTATTAGCAGTCTGATCGAAAATGTTTTTATCAGGTATAGTATGGTTTCAAGAGAGCTTTAACGCGATTATAGAAAATTTTTGGTCAAGGGGACCACGAGCAGACGACGCAGAAGATGATCGATGATCTTACTGATGCTGGAAGGCTTTGCTGGGTATCAGTCCAGCCAGAGTTTGATCCTCCTCGCCCTCGCGATACGCTTGCCACCAGTTCGGATCTTCCTGAGAGATCACGTGCAACACGTCGCCTTTTTGGAAGCTGACGCCCAATTCTCGACAGGGAATATAAGGATCTTCCTCGGGATCGTAGTCAAAGTGCGCTCGTATATGCTGTATCTGTTAAAGGACGACGACCAGATTTAGCCAAAGATCGTTTCCACGATACGCACGTGGTTCCGATATTGGAGGCCAGTTCCAAGTACCTGATTGGTATCTTCTCTTCTGTTCGACAGGTTGTTCCTGTGATTCGTGGGCGTTGGAAGCACCAGGAACGTTAGGCTACCCTGCATACCGGCCAGGATGTCGCAGACCTCGTTCACGCTCTTGCCGCGCATCTCGACACCGTTCACCTCGAGAACCTCGTCGCCTTCGTGGAGAAGACCCGATTTATCCGCCGCGCCGCCTCGCACCACGCGACCTACAACGATAATATAGTGAACAATCGGTGGGCTCGACCAGAAACAGAGTTGCCAGGGGTAAGCTACTTTTATTTTTATAATGGCACATTATACAGAATATCGCAAAATTCATGGTTAAAACTAGCTCTACCCATGGCAACTCTCTGACCAGGAATCAAAAGAAATGTGAAGACTAAATTCTATGCGCCGGTCATTGTACCTATGATCACGGCGTCACCCTCGTTCCTAACGGTAGCACCCAACGGTTCGTTCGTTTTCTCGATTCGGATTATTTTAATATTGTCCACCGTACGGGAACCGCCTCTCCAGCTGGACGACGGGCTCGGTGGTCCGCTGGGCGACGAAGACGAGGGACTCTGCTTCCTCTGCAACCCGTCCACGTACGAGACAACCAAGTCGTGGGCGAGAAGCAGTGCGTCCATGTCGTAGCTGGTCAGGATTCCGGTTAGCTCCTCCACAGCCGCTATTGTTTCCGCTCCGCCGACACCTGTTGCCGTCGACGAGGATTGCCATTTCTCCAGAATATCCACGCACTGAAACATCGATTCGTGACGATGATGGGTCAGGTCAGTATAACCATTGGCGTAACTAGAATTTTTTTCTGGGAAGGCCAGGACCACCCTGGCCCCTACCTAGTTACGCCAATGAGTATAACCCTCGGTGATTCGTGTGATCTTTGATGATCCTCTCTCCTGATTCACGGTTGTCCGTTTCGACTTGTAAGAAACTGATAGGATTTGCGATACGTTCATGGTGAACTTCTAACCGTGTCGAAAGGATTAACCTTCTCGATCTACGTACATTCCGGGCTAATGTGGACGCGTCCTCGGTGTGATGTTTCAGGACCTTGTTCGATCTCAGCCGGTTCTTCAAGGCGTGATGGGTGGCCAACGCAGACGCGAATCGACTTTGCACCAGCAACGTCCGCACCGCCTCGAGTTCCGCTTCCACGCCAGGACCAGAAATCCCTAGAGCACCGGAAATGCTGCGCAGCTGAAGCTGTAGCCTCTCCAGGGTCGCGACCACCTCTCCATATGCTGAAACACCCGCGACAGATCTGTTAAAAGAAACTCTTCGAATGGTTCGAGAGTTAAACACACCTATCAACGATTTTTCAAAGGAACGAGCGTCGTTATTTTTAACAAAACTTGGAAATTAGCCCCTTCATGATTGGCCGGAGAGGCTCTGGAGCTAACGTTCACACATACAACACACTCTTCGCCGTACGTGACTTGGAAATTTAATTACGCGAAAACGACGGTGCGTGACCGTGAATGCAATGACGAAAAGCCAACAGGTTCGACGACGCGAACAATGTTCCGCGCAACTGTTTCAACAATATATCCGTGTTATTTAGTTTCCTGCTAAAAGATTCGATTACTCCAATGTGTGTTGATCGATTACAGCATTTTTACAGCTGTTAATGAGTTATTGTTTCGATCGTGAAATCATTGAATATTTCATCCTGTTATCAGAAACCAAGATGGCGAGATGGTCTTCTTGGTTTTTAGGGTAACGATCTCACGAATCTTCGGAATATAACGTGAAAAGGTCCGACAATCTAGTTACTGAAACATAAACAGGGTCCGACTAATAGGGTAACGAGTGTCGTTAGCCTGCCGTCTAGACGAGAGGCTCCTTCAACGAGGGTGGCATAGTACAGAGTGCCTCAGAAACAGATGGTTTCCCTAATGGAAGCTGATAGAAGAGATGGAACGGTGTAAAAAACAAAGCATGCTCGAACCACGTCGAAAATATGGTGTATATAATCAGTAATTTATGGGACACTGCTAATGGATGTGTAATACGAGACACGCGATTGTGGCGGCCATCTTGAAAATTAGAAACGCGATTGCAGTGACCATCACGAAAATTCGAAATGTGAATACGGTGGCCATCTTGAAAATTGCAAACATGAACATGGCGGCCATGTTGAAAATTCTAATCACTGATTTGTCCCAGAGTTTCTTTAACATTTCTTTACCAAAGCACCCGTTTTCACGGTTGTTATATATTTTTTATTATACTCTACTATTTGTAATATTTCTTCTAATCTAGTAAGAACGACCTATTCGTTAAATATGATGTAATATATCGATACTAAATGAAACTCACTGAGGGGCCTGGGCGGCTCCTCGGCGTCCTGGACCGTGTTCGCGAAGACATGGCTGGGACGTGCGACGGTGGTCACCTCGTCCTGTGCGTACGCAGGGTTTTCTTGTCCAGCGAGGCTGGTCGCGTGGCTTTCCAACGCCTGTAGCTTGGTGGATCCCCGTAACGATCGATTGAGTATCTCCTGTCTCTCCTCCTCATCCTTCCGTTTTCGCAGCTGCTCCTACAATCAGATCATCGATTTACGGGGGGGTGCCTTACGCCACCCGATGGGGAAAGAGCATCTCGATAGAGAGCAAAAAGGATCCGTCAATTTCCTGGGACTCGATGGAGACTTCTTAATTCGATCCTTCTTCTGGCCGCGGCGGAATCTCATCTCCGTTTTAAGTTCGATGACAATCGGAGACCACAGAGCCAGTGAGAGTGAAAAATGAGCCAGGAAACATTTAATTATTCTTACCTGGTCCGTGACCAAACGATTCGCGTAATTTCACGGGATAATCGTGACGGATCTTGTCTCTGGGCCAGGCAGAACGAACACATCCAAAAAAGACGCGATGGCGCGGAAATGCAAAATTTTTAACATGGCCGCGGGATATTTATTTCGGGACTGAGACATGTGGTCTGGAGAATCGTGGCTCCGATTCGCGGTTCGATCAGTTATTTTCCGCTACGCACTTTAATATTATACAGTGAGAGTCAAAAAGTGTGTATACAATTCGAAAGTGTCTTCCAGCGAACAGTTTTTAACCATCTTACTAAAAAAACCCGTGAATGCACTTGTATCTGAATTTAATTTTAAAATATTTATGCATCAATATTTCCTCCATAATATTTATTATGAATAAACGACTGTCTTACATCAGAGGTTGCCATGCTGCCTCAAAAAATGTATATACCGGGTGTCCTATTTAAATCGACCCAGTCGAATGTCTTCGAAATTATTAATGATATTAAGAAATATTTCTGAACAAAGATAAATGTACTATGTGGACGCGTAGAGGTCATACGAAGGTCAACTTTGGTTTTTTTAAAATAGAATCGTACATAGTACATTCACCACGTTCAACGACATTAACAAAATTTCTTGGTTATACCTTCGAATGTCTTTTTCTCGAATTTTTCGACTGCCTATTCATCTCGAAAATGTAATTGAATAGTAGAATTTCACAGGACGATTACACGAATTTCACACCTTTGCAAGGTGTATATTACTTATATTCCGACTCTCGCTGTACGTAATAACCCGAACACGATTTTAGCCCGACGAAGCCACGATCCACGAGAATCGTTTTCGACGGTGTCGAGCCTTGTGCTGTTACCTACCTCCTGCGCCTTTCCCCGAGCATCTATCGTCGTCCGTGAGGGTACGAACGAGGACAAGCAGAAAAACACAGAAAACAACCGCAGGAACGACAAAAGGGGGGGAAAACGGGGCGAGAAAAACAGTGACAAACATCCATGGAAAACGTGAAACGTTCTATCTAATATCAAGCAGGCATTCCGGGAGATATGTTCGATCGAATCATTTGTGTTCGATTCGAAAAAAAAAACAAATAATATATGAAATCGGTCCCTCTATCGGCCCCCGATAAATTCCGCCCCGGAAACGATATCGACGAACCAGACTTGTTGTTCGTTCCATCGACGCCCACCGGCTGATAAGGCGAGTCTGTCTGTGTTCGACGGAAAAATTGTCTGCGCGAACGGTCGCCTGGCCGATTTATGTAACACGTCCACGCCGAGCTGAAATAGTTGGACGAAGCCCCGATCACTCACGGCGGTACGCGACGTGTGTATGGCTTCGCTAGACCGTCAGCTCTTGCCGATTCGATGGATTTCCTTCGATTCCAAGCTGAAAGGGACCAAAGGGAGAGGTCAAGGGATATGTGGTGGGCATCCAAAATAGGGATTACGAATCTGTTGTGTGACTTCGATGGAATCTTCGTGGAGAACTTCGTGGGGGAATGAAGGATCGATTGAAATGAAAGGGAGGAGATGATCGAGTTGGATGTCTTAAAGGGTGAATCACCCTTAGTCATCGCTGGATTGCGAATTTTATGCATTCATAGCATATATAGGTCTGTAAAATACAGTGTAAAACAAATCTTTCGTCAGATCCAATCAGTTTTCTAGATCATTCCGAACCTAATGTGATACATAAGAAAAGAAACAAATTCCTACATTTGCTGTTCTCTGTATGAATTGCTTTAGAAAATACCATTTTTCATAAAAATCCGCAGTCATCGCAAAGTCCAGAAAGCCAAAAACGGTTTAGTCATCCTGTAATCAAGGGCCACGTCCACCCCTTCTCTAACTCAAAAACGTGTATTATAAGACTTCAAAGAGTATTCCGAGAGCATTCGTATTCTCCCTGTCAAACACACTATTAGCCATACATATATTATATTCAGTCACTCGGACACAACTATGCGAATTGAAACTTCTTGTTAAGTTTAAATTAAGTGTTGTTAATATTCTTCACTCTCTATACAGATAATAAATTAACAGCAAGATAACAGGCCAAGAAAATCCCAACATCGATCGTTGTCAATGACGGAAGGGTCGAACCGAAGACATTAACAGGTTGCGTTCCAGACCAGAAAAAGACCCGTTTTATCATTTCACGAGGGAGACACGATTCTCAGGTCGAAAACAGACGTCCAAAAAGTATCCCGCAGTGGTCTGTTCTCCACTCGACGGTGGAGTGCAGGATCCACGAAAAAAATTCGGTTTCCCAGTAAAAAGGCCAGACGGGAAACGTCGAGGAAGACCGAAGTCGCGATGAAGAGGGGAGGGAGACGAGCCTGAGTCAGCCAGAAATTTAGACACCTATCGAAACTCTTCGTAACGTTACACTCGAGCCTTGTAATCTTAGACCATTGTACCAGGGCGTTCTTTACATTCCAGACCACACTTGACTTAAGGTGGTTGGGGCCCCTTAAGGCTGAAGGGATTTTTATAAGACTTGTAGACGCGACGCCGCTACGTTTTCTGGTATTTCTCACGCAGACCTGACACGCATCGAGAGAACCTTTTGATATATTATCGGCCACTTTTGACTTCGATACACCCCAGATACATGTTCCCCTTGAATCTCGGAAGAGAGGCTTCCCGACTAGACCACTTGTCTTGGAGTCACTAGCTATTGGTCGTGCATGGGACGGAATTGGAAAGCAACGATTCTGGAATATTCGCTTCGTTAACGTGCTTTGGAATCACGGTGGTCGCAATTTAATGTAAGATGGGGGATAAATTAACTTGTACTCTGTGGTTAATCCATTTTGATATTCGATAACTGGTACCGTTTAGCCCTGGAAGAATGAATTTTATCTATTTTGAGCTGTGAAAAATTGTACAGTAAATTTTCGATAAATAACATTCGTCTCCCGCGATCTTCCATACCGGTGATCACGAATCACAGAAAGGAAAATTGCCCAACGATCGCATACCATCCACGCTCCATCCCACGGCCGTTCCCAGCCCCGTTTGCATATACGCCTTTACGCACGTGTGCAACAGCAGCGCAACAGCTGCATACACGCCGATTGTCCTCAGTCATCGACGATTAATTTTCCACAACCTCGAATAGAAAATTCGAAAATGATATATATGTATGTATATACAGGGTGAGTCACCTAACGTTTGCACCTCAAATATCTTCGTCGTTTTTAAAGATACGTCAAATGTCTTAAGGACAACGCTGAATGATTAAATGGGGCTTACATGATACCAAAAAAATGTTTGTTTTCATGTCATTGTTTTTAGAGATATCAAGATCAGCTTCATTTTTAAAAATGGATTCACCCTTTTTTAAAAACTTACAATGATAGTCTCGTTCATTAAGAATTTAGTGACTATAATTATTCAAGGTCATTCAAGGTTACAGAAAAAAGGGTGGTTCCATTTTTAAAAAATGAAGATGACCTTAATATCTTTTAAAACAATGATAAAAACAAAAATTTTGAATAAAACAACAGCAAAAGGAGATTCGTAATTTTCTGTTGGAACGCGAACGCCTCACGCCGGTCGCGGCCGTCCCTTTAACCAACGATCCCGTCGACTACGCCGCTTTTAAAACCTTACGCAACGTTAAATTATTCATGCGGAATGCCAAGAGTCGCGTTCCCCGTTGAATACTTTTCACAATCCTAGCCGAAACGCGCCTCGACTTCGCGTTCTCCGATGCCTGAAGGCTTTTCGCCATGGGCGTCGATTGTAATCGACAATTTCAACCGTTTAACGGAAAACGCTTCCTGCGTCACGTGACTGGGTCACCCAAAAGATTCACGGTTTTTTCATCGATTCAATAATTTGACCAGCGACGGATCAATGGGGGTTCTAGGGGGCTACAGTTCCGGACCCCACTTTCCAGGTGGTCCCATTCCGAACCTTCCATTTTGTTATGATTAAATGTTACTTAATTTTATTTAAAATAAATTTCAATTTTTCAAGATTTATATATTTTGTTGTGCTGTATTAAAGACCCATCCACCTTCCCCGCTTTTTAAACAAGGGGCCCCTGAAAATTTGATAGCTCTGGGCCACAAAAAATCTTAATCGGGCCTGAATCCAACCGTCCAGGATATCTGTAGAAATTTTCACGGTCGCGGACTATTACAGAGAATCTAGAAACGAAAGATTCACGTTTCACCGATCGGAGGATTTCTCTCACATGTGTATACGTTACAACGAGGCGAGAACTCTTAATTGGAAACGCTTGGGGGCTGGGAACGACACATACATGGAGACTACACGCGTCTATTTTCTTATCGTTGCCAGAACCGGGCAACGACGTGCCGTGCATAGTGTTCTTTCGCGTTAGCGAACAGCTCAGTTGACAATCGACATCTCCACGGGTTGGAATGCAAAGGCGGGTGTACAAGTGTTTGTCTTATCGCGAGGTCGGCGAATTGTTATGCGTGTGTAAAACTGCGAACGCTTGTCCACTGAAATCCTATCGGATCCTGTCGCGTCTACGGAAGACTAACATTTTTTTTCGAAATCTGGAACACTTCGATAGTAGCTTTTACAATGGACCACCATTTTTTTTCTTGAAATCTGGACCATTTCGATGAGTGCGTTTACAATGAACTACCATTTTTTTTCGAAATCTGGAACACTTCGATACTAGCTTATTACAATGGACCACTATTTTTTTTTCTTGAAATCCGGACCATTTCGATGAGTGCGTTTACAATGAACTACCATTTTTTTTCGAAATCTGGAACACTTCGATACTAGCTTATTACAATGGATCACCATTCTTTTTTTCTTGAAATCTGGACCATTTCGATGAGTGCGTTTACAATGAACTACCATTTTTTTTCGAAATCTGGAACACTTCGATACTAGCTTATTACAATGGACCACTATTTTTTTTTTCTTGAAATCTGGACCATTTCGATGAGTGCGTTTACAATGAACTACCATTTTTGTTTTAAATTTGGAACACTTCGACAGTCGAGTGTACAATGGACCACCGTTTTTTTTTCTCGAAATCTGGATCACTTTCCAACTAACAGACCACGTCCTAATCAGGTATGCAGTAATTACGCAATCGCGTTCGAAGAAATTGTGCAATCCGAAAACACCAATTTTCACAAGAAGTGAATACACCAGTCGATCGTAAACGAGAGAAAGCTATCGATTCCGACGGTGACTATGTGGGTGTTTTAAAAATATTAAAATACACTGTTTCGTAGCAGTGTAACGTGACAGAGCAACGGAACGCTTCTCCAAAATCCAGCGAATTCTCCGAAAGCGTCGCGAGAACCGGAAGTGGCTCCCGACCTAGAAGGGAGGAAGGCGCGGCTAGGGACAATCCTTCGACCACATATACTTATAGACACGGCTTCAGATGACAGTTTTGAATCAAAGATAAAATCATCTATGTGACGTCTCACTAGGGAAAAATCTTCGACATATACAGGATGCCCCAAAATAATTGCAAGTTCTTGAGTAATTTGTCTATAGTCTACTAGAGACTAAATTGTCTAAAATATCACTTATATAGTCAAATTACTGATTACAAAATAAATTATTTTATGACGTCACACAAGGGTAACATTTCCTATTATCTTTACTTCACTTTGACCCATGGATCCGTATATATAAGCCGTGTCTAGAAGTATAGTTTGGTCGAAGGGACGATCCGTCCTAAAGCGGAAGCGTACCTGGTATTTTCTGATGGAGTGCAGTTGCTGCTGCGTGGGCTCGGCGTTCGCGTTGTCGGTGCTCTCCACGTTATTGTTCTGGGTGGACAGACGTAGATTGTCTTTCGGCGGTCTAGCCGGCGCCCTCTTTTGATCTCTCGGCGGGATGGCAGGTTTCAGCCCATTCAGACCGGCCTAGAAAATTCCGTTTCGAAAGGAAACAATTGCTCGGATTAATTCTCTCCATCGGCGGGGATGAGGGACACAGAGGCCCGTCGCGATCGCGACTATCGAAACAAAAGATTAATGTATATATATATATATATATATATATTCTCCCTCCAGTTTTTCGTTCCTCGATCCTCTGGTCGCGATCTTCACGTCGAACGACCGATCCTAAGAGGACAACCGAGTAATTTCCGGCACACACGCGCGTCCGCTTTCGTTCTCGACTAAAGCGGAAGCGAACAGCACAGCCAGGGAGTAGTATCAAAGAAGAAGAAGATTTAGGAAGATAGAATTTGTGAAGGAAGAAGAGAAGCCTGCGCGTGCACTAGGAAAAGAAAGTTTCTACAATGAATGTTTATTACAGGGACTTCTACCGATACGTAAAATACCGATATTATACCGGTATTTTCGGTTGTATCTTCTGCATAACCCTGTATAAACCCCATCCTTATAGAAACCGAAAAAATATCGGTATTTGTTTCGGTGATCGGTAATATATCGGTTGAAGTCCCTGGTTTATTAATAAGCACATGTGTTACGTTACCATGCACGCCAAATGACTACGTGTGTTTGTGTGTGTGTATATGTCCATTATGCATGCGTTCTACACTACTGTCCATAAGTATCTGTGACACAGGTATATTGGTCGATGTTACGAATGTTATTGTTCTTCGACAAATAAGGCCATCGTTTCTGCTGTTTTTTTATCGTATTGAATATCTTTGTCTAATTTTACAACAGCACGAGGCTCTTCTGTCGTTAATCTTTCTTTAGAACTGAAGATCGTAATATTTTTTATTTAATTCATCTTAAAAGAATTCTAACCGAATGCCTGCATTTGCTTTTATATTTTATACGACCGATATTTTTCTGAACGTATTGGGATCTGACATGGGGGCGTGGCTTAATCCAATATGCCGTCAAAAAGAGTGAATTTGAATTGTGTATCTTGCCGAACGTATAGAAGTAGTGATTCCCAACCTGTGGGGCACGCCCCCTTAAGGTGTCGAAAAATAACAAATGGGGGAGGGGAGCGAAGGCATGAAAAAAGACAAAAACTTCCAAAAATATATTTAAACATCCCGTTTCCACAGGGGGTCAAGATGCCTGTGGGGCAAAAAAAGAAAAAAAAAAAAACAGATCGAAGCAGCAAAGTTTTTACCTGGTGTTCGTCAGTGTGGTCGAGGCGGTGGCAGGAGGTGGCGTACGTACGTATCCCAACGGCATCGTTTGGACTCGCTGGTTCCGTTGTGTCGGGGCTCGAGCTGCGGCAGCCAGAGTCTCGACGAGTCGTGATCTCATCACCGGGAGAATCCCGGCAAGAAACGGACGAAGGATAGGCGAGATTCGTGTCCGAGAGGCAGGATTGCAAAGCAGAATGGGAGGAGACGTGTGGCGTACAGGAGATCTCTGGATCGCTTTTGGAGACGTCACGGTTCGTCTTTCGAAGAGAACCGAAGGAAACGTCCAGAAGCTTGGACCGTTTGTACTCGAGAGACAGCCGGGAATTAGTCTGATTCTGTGTATTCGGGGAATCGTCCAGATTGGACAGATCCTCGTTCGGCCAGGATTTCACGGTATCCCGTTGTTCACGGTTGGACATCTCCCGTAGAGAGTTTCGGGAATTCTGATTGGTCTCCTGGACGAACGACAGACGTCTGAACGGTGTGGTTCGGACCGTTGGCTTCTGATCGTACGAACAATCGAGATAATCTAACGGGCTGTCTCTGTGGTCGAACAGAACGGCGTGACGACGAGTGGAGCATTTAGAGGATCGATCCCTGGTGTAACGTACTTGGAGGTCTCTGATTGACGGAGGATCGATGATCAGGTTCTCCGTGGATGTGGATGTGTCGTGTGAGGGTGTCACGTTCGGGATTATCGTACGGTCGAACGGACTACATTGTACGACCGTTTGGTGTGCAGTGTTAGAGCTTAGAGGGAGCAACAACGTGCTGTTAGAGGGTGAGCAGCTATGGCGATGATGATGCGGGGTGCTTGAAGCGTGACGTAGAAGCGTTTTGCGGTTGCGTGACGGCGGCTCGTGGTGCACGAAAGATAGGAAGCTGTCGAGAAGCAAACTCTTGACTTTGGACCTTACCTTCTTCGTGGAGTCGTGCTTTCTTTCTAGCGTGCGAGACGCCGCGGTGCGCAACACCGTGGCGCCGTTAACGTCGCCGCTAGTCAGCGTGGCGAGGCTAAGATCGTTCGAGGGAATGCAGGATGGTGGTGGTGATGGTGATGATGATGCTGTCGTGGCCACGGTCGTCGTGGCGGTGCACTGTGTGCTGTTCCCGTCATCCCTACGTAACCCCAGACTACCCGTATTCACGTTCCCGTTACGTTCACGTTTCGGTTCAAGGGTGTTGTGCTTGCTGTTCACGGGTGTCTTGTTCGGGGGTGGATAGACGGGATGGCACTTGGTGACCGGCACGAAATCGGGGGGACAATCGACGGCCACCTCGCGGTACGTTTTACCGCCTACCACGAGGAAGCTACGTTCAGCGTGATGCTCGTGATCGGTGGACGCGTCGCTTCTTAGGGTCGAATAACCGCTGGAGATCTGTTGGTGTCTCTTCTTTTTAGGCCGTTGTTGCCTCGAGGACGAGGACAGGCTGCTGCCTGATTCGATGCCCACAAGATCCTCGTTGGACCCTGATCTGATCAGTTCTTCTACATCCAAACTTCTGGTTTTACCTTTTTGCTTTGCTCTGTCCTCCGTTTGTCTACGAGTTTTCGGTAGCTTCGTGGGTTTGCTGGATGGTGTTTGATCAGTTTGCAATAGCTCCGTGACACGTTGTTCCTTCCCACGAACGGGGGACACTCGGTCTTGATCCCTGGGCAGTCTACGAACGGTGCACTGTTCGTCGATCAGTCTGGTCAGATCGGTGACCTCGTCTGATCGCATCAGCAGACCCTGAAGGTCTTGCAGATCGGCCAGTCCGTAGGCTGGATTATCGAACGATGTCGTGTCCCTGGTGCGACCGAACAACGGAGCGACTTTGATCTCGGGTACAACCGGTCTACAGGGGGAGCCTAGATCTATACGTCTAGCATCGTACGTGGGCGAGTCGTCTTTTCCTCTTGTCTTCGCGTGTCTGAGCACCAGACTGCTGTCCAACGGGGCGGTACTGTCGGACCTGCCGGACGAGCTTCTTGGACTGGCCGAATCGTCGCTGCAGGTCTTCAGCATGGTCGGATAGTCTTCCTTTGCGAATGGATAATCCTCCTCGACGTCTACGTCCACGCTGGACTCCTTCTGACCGATCGTGTCCTCGTTCACTCCCTCGTCCTCCTCCTCGTCCTCGAAATCCTTGAACGGATTCTTCAGGTCTGGTGAACCCAACGTGGACGGGCTACGACGATACTTGTCTTCTTGGTCTTTATCGTATTTATTCCTGCACTCGTCCTCGAGGTTCTCTGGCTCGATCTTCAGCTCGATCTTGACCATATGAGGCGGTTGATGATGATGATGACCGTTCCTCGGTCTCACGCTAGCGTCAGTGACGTCAGTCTGATGGTCGACGCTCGACACGATATTCACGTGATCGTCGATGTTGCTGATTCGCAGATGAGGCGAAGAAGACGGCAATGGCGGCGGTGGTGGCGGCGGTGTCGGTGGTGGTGGTGACTTAAGGGTGTCGTTTTTAAGGTTTAGGGAGAGGTCGAGGTCGCTAGCTAGCTCGCTACGGGGGCCACGAAGCTCGTTCCTATACTCGGATGAGCAGTTCTTTACCTTGTTGGGATAGGCCTTCTGTAGAAGGGTGTCGGGGACGTCGACTGGTAGCTCCCGGTGAGGCCCTAGGCCGCCAGGGGCCCACATCTCATCGGGACCCAGTCCCTCCTGCGGCTTCTTTGCGTTGTTGTTCTCCTGCAGCTGCTGCTGCTGTTGTTGCTGCTGTTGCTGTTGCTGCTGCGAGTGTATGTCCGTCACGCCACTGCTGTTACGAATTCGGGACCTGTCGAGCACAAAACACAGAGGTGAGCGTTTTTTTTTTTTTAACGATTTTCGATGCGTCGAGTACGCCGCTACTTTACAACCCATCCCCTTGTTTCTTATTGGGGAGGATCCCCTGGTTCGGGGGAACAAGGTATATACATAGTTCTTTCTATTCAGCTATTTACAGAACAAAGTGGCTGGCGACAGGTGCTTGGAAGATTCGCCTCGACCGATTTTCACTTCCGTCGAGAGTTTCTTATACAGGGTGTCGCGCACCTTTACAAGCATTTAGTGTATGTCACCTGTTTTTCAGGATAGAAACAAATGTCAGAGGAAAATATTATTTTGCTGGAAAAGGTAAATACTGTGACAAGCAAAAAACGTTTCCTCAATGAAAATCGTTCGCCCATCACACAGTATTCATGAATTCCGACCAAATAATACATTCTACCATCGAAAACAAGTAAGACATTTATGATGGTCACGTTATACAGGACACCCTATATACTGCATTATCGTGTCGAAAAGTATGAATTTTTTTTTTAAAAGAAATTTCGTATACTGGATTAGAAAGTCCAGGAATTATTCGAGGCGCAGAATTCCAAGGCCAGTGCTCGCTAGCAAAAAAGATGAAGGTACGTGTAAGACCGTAAGAGGTTCTAAGTAAAGATGCCTGAAACGGGGGAAGTAGCACAGTGTCCTTTTTTTTTTTCTTTTTCCTAAACAACGATGGAGAATACAGGGTTGCTCGGTACACATTCCAGGTTCTTTGAAAGTGCACCGAGATTAGCTCTCGAGCGAATTATTAAAGGAAAAGCGGTTGGGCGACGACGGTGCGGGGTTCGATGGGAACGCATCGACATACTTGGGCGGTAAGCGCTAACTACGGGATGGAGAGCCCACGGAATTAACCCACGGGAAGTTAACGAGTTTTCTGACTGCGTTTCGTACGCGCAATCGAGGCCAGCCCCCGAGGTTACAGCCACTTACCCGGGATAATGTCGTAGTTTCGTAACGGCGAAAACCGTCCGTCTTCGGTCTTCCGCTCGAACCCTGACCCTTTCCCGCGAAATTTCCTTCGGGAAAAAGCTACACTTCAAGGGGGTGTTCCCACTCGAAATTGTAATTTTTAAACGATTTTTAGAACTAAGAATTAATTGACTGAGGAACTTGTTTCTCGCAGATGTTTGTTCACATTTCAAGAAGGCACTGTAACATTTTTGTGCAATTATATTAATAGAGTCATTACATGCTTTTTGCGGTGTGTCGCTCTGAATGACTGGTCACACGTTTCTCGGATCTCTCACGACTTCCATTGCAAATATCAAAATGAAGAAATTCGTTGTATTTGGTAAATTTTAGTATTTTCAAAAAATCTGTCGTGTTCAGTAATCCGATGGAACTAAACTTACGTTTATCGTCGGTAGTTCTAGCGTTAAGTACTATCCAGAAACGAGAAAAACGATGCGAACAACAGAAACGCGTTTGTAAAGAGAGAACAGGTAATTCTGTCAACAGATAAATTCTTATCCCATCTATCTTTACCTCAGAATGTTCAAGAATCCGATTTCCTATGATACTATGATATTCAAGTTTTTATATTTATACAAAAAGCTAATGTCAACGAGGTGTCTTCGAAACGGCGATGACCTTAAAGCTTAAGGCTTAAGTCCACAGTGTAACGTCGCCGTGAAAAAGGCAAAATCCGACGACCGCAAAACCAGGTCGTTCCAATAGGCCTGAGAAAATGGTACGCGCGAAAGTGAATTTTTTACGCGCAGTTGAGTATCGGTAGAAAGTTGCACGCGTGTTCCACCCTTTTGTCATCCCTCCCCATCAATCTATCCCGACCCACGTGTCCCCTGTAATAATTACAAAACGTCCTCTCTCGAGAATAGATCTTTCATGAAGCCAAGCGGTAGAAATTTCTTCTGGATTATTTGGGGGAGATGGAAGGTGTGTGCATTAGTAATGGTCGATATAGTATCGATATTTCGAACACATCGATACTTTTCAATTCGAATATCGATATTTAATGCGACGATATATTACAGTATCGATACTTAACCCATAAATATCGAAATTTCGATACTGTCTGCTCTGTTTTGATTGGTTCCAAAGGTTACCTCCCCCCATGGTGGGAATAACGCTGTTGTTCATGTCGCATTCATCGAAGAATTCCTGTAACATTCTTTTTTTTTTGTTTCTCTAACAAATTTTATAACTTTGCTATATAACCTATTATACTATACAGTGTAGACGCAGCTTTATCGAGCCTCCATTCTGTTATTATTAAATTAAGCCCGTCGACGCAATGCATTCATTGATTCGAGGTTGTAAACGATCAATGAGAAGGTATTTCGGCACGCGGAACTATATAATGTAATACCAGTCCGCACAGGAAAAAGGCGAGGCGTGAATAACGCGTTGGAAATTTCACTCGAAAGTCGCGCGAGCGCGCATTGCCGCTGGCACGCGGTTATTCGATCGGTGGCTCGATTGTGCTCGACCGCGATCGCGGCCGTGTGCCCGAGGAATTTTATCGGCTCGACAATTAGCACACGTGGCTACGCTCGAGTTCCTACCAGAGGATTCGCGGTAACATCGAGATTTTCCTTTCTTTTTTTCTTTCACGCTTCGAAAAACGAGCGAAACCGAAATTCCGCGAATATTCGTTAATTGTCGGACTGCACTGAAAAGGAGAAGAGTATGCTTTTGCTCGACGATTTATCAAACTTTTATTAAACTATTCTTGTACTCGTTTAATAATCGACCAGATTTTTTTTCAGGTCTCATTTTTTCCGGTTACGAAATCATTCATCCGAATACCACAAAGTTACCAAACTTTCGATTTCTTTCGCCGTTTCCAAAGAAGCTATTCATTAGGAACGGAATTTTCCGGTTCGTCATTAGTCTCGTTATCTGCGCCCCTTGCGGGCGGGAACTAACGACACACCCTCATTAACCTTTCTCGCGTGAGTGTGTCTTGACCAACCACGTCGTTTATTGGAAGAATATTATAATATTGTGCTATTGTCGAGTTCATTGCTTTCTGGAATTATTCTTTAGGCTTACGATTTCTCGCGTCTGGTGATGCGATAACTGATGTTCCAAAATATTGTACTTACACGCCTACTGCAAAATGCACAGCAAATGCTTAATTAAAGTTCAATAACCCTATTTCGATAGCTTTTATTTTTCTCCCTACATTTATCATCGCTTATCACTGACGTGTGCACTAAGCTTCCGCTAGGGGAAAAAACATTTATATCAGTACTTGAAATAAATTTACCACCTGGTAGGAGGTTCTCACCCCTACACCACTTTTTCCCCTAGAGAAAGCCGAATTTGTCCGCGAGGTTACAATAAAGAGCAAGGTTCACCTAACTACGAGGCCCGTTGTGGTGAACCTAACCTAAAATAAAGGAAACAGACCGCGGAGTATAGGGACACACGATGAATTCGTCGAGATCTCGAGAACCGATCCTCGATCTATCGGTCGGGGCGCGCCACAATGGGGATCCAGGTGGGTTTTGTTCGTCGAAAAACCATCGGGGTTTCACCGCAGATGAATTCTTCGAACGGCGATCGCGAGAGGGGGCTGGGTGGACGCGATTTTTCCCGTGGATCCAGTTACAAGGGCAACGAAAAGAAAGGGGTGAGGGGTAGAGAAGGAACAAGAGCCCACGAAGGTATTACGGTTGTGGGTAAGTGGCCACGTGAATTCACTGGAGAGAAGAAGATGAAGAAAAAAAAGAAGACAATGCCGCGTATACCCCCCCCCCCCGCAGTCCGGCTGGACAAAAGGCGACAGAAAACGCGCGGAGATGCAATGGCGCGCTGCGGCCAGTCCCTTAGCGTTGCGCGCGCCACAGAACGTAAAACGGGTTCACGTGCACTTTCGCCGTGGTCCTTTTCAAACGACCGTTTCCAACGAACACACACGCCCGCGCTGTTCTCCATTTTCTTTTTTTGCTTTCTTTCCGCCCCCACTCCACGATGATCCGTACCTCTATGCAATCGAACCGACGCGTGGGGAGAAAAGGGAATTCTAATTATCGGGTTGTTGCACCCAATATGGCGGATATACGTGAAGATGTAGGTGTTGTGTTAACGTTAATAAACGAAGAGAAAATGGTAGCACGGGACAATTTTGATTCCTGCACGAAGAGATTTGCTGAAACGAGAATACCGAAATATGACTTTCCTAACCTACAAACTGCAACCTGCAATTATTCCATATCATTTTCACCACAAGTTGGTTGTTTTTATTTCTGTAATTAAAGATAGGTTTATGAATCGGTTGTGAAATTATTTGAATCCCACCACTGGTCTAAGGTCCTAAAAGGGTTAAGTGGAGAACTGACTGATCACACAGGGTTGTACATCGTTCAAATGATCTTCTGGTTACGTACATACGAGTTGTGACAATTGTCCCAACGATCGCGGTTCATCGGCTATCGACGTTACCAGCCCGATCAAGGCCAAGCGACTAGCGCCGTTTGCTGGAAGTCTGGGACGTGTTTGTCGCAGCGGGGACTGCACGACACGACGAGCAGATAAAGCGGATAGGGTGACACATCGTTTCGGAGTGCCATCCAACTATATGCATATACAGGGTGTTCGTGCTATTCCTAACCAGGGTATCTCCTGATAAAATATTCGAAAAAAAATGAAAGAGTAAAAGTAGTACTGGGACTTTTACAAGTAACGTAATGGCGTATGTAATGTTTTTCTGTTTGCCCTATTGTTTTTAGAAATGAAGTTGACCCCCAATTTTTTAAATGAAATGTTTTTTCTTCTACCATCATATGAAAGCGTGCATCGAGACGAATTCATGAGTATACGACACAGTAACCTTCAAGGTCATACAAGGTCACCTTCATTTATAATTACATACGCCATTACTTGCAAAAAAACAGCGCGAACACCCTGTATACATGGCCACTGACGATACAGGGAAACTCGACTGGCTCTCTCCTTCTGTCTCTGTTTGTCCATCTAAAGCGGGCGAGCGAT